TCAGAATTGCTTCTTTTGCAGCAGCAGCAGCCATTGTGTTACCAATGATACCATTACATCATGTGAGGGGGGGGGGGGGGGGGGGGGGGGGGGGCGCCCAAGGTAATGCAGGTCTTGAAACCAAACAGTACCAATATGGTGCTGACAAACCAAGAATCACAATCGAGTTGAATTTTGAATTGCAGCGCCTTAAGACGACTGTGCCACTCGTGCCTCGTAAAGAGAGCATATAACATTGCGTCGGCATTGTTTCACTCCAGTGAAGGAGACGGTTTTATTGTTATCATACTAATTATCATCATCCATGATGGCAAGTGTAGCTCTGAATGAGGAAACACCAGAATTACGAGCCCCTGCTTGTTTCAGAACGTGGATTAAATATCTTTGTGATATGTGATTCCTGCACCATACCTTCCCCTTCCATATGGTATCATGAGTGACTTATTTTGTTATATGATGACGGTTTTACATTGTGTGAAAGGAACGCCTAAGATTATTCAGGTGTAGCGTTTTAGTATCATATAACCAGTCACTCGCTTTATCCATACGATGTCTCTATATAAATGAGTGCGCACGTGTAACAGCGCCGGAAGTGTGTGTGTTGTGCGCTAGCAGACCACATGGCTGCCGACTACACTTGACTGAGTGTATTGACATGTAATGAGAGAATACAACCTTTCCCCGGAAAGCCAAGTGTTTGTTGTAGCTGCCAAAGTCATCACATAAATTGGCGACGAGGTAAAACTGGATGTCTTAGCGTTTTTGTGGACATTTTGTGTGATTAACGTCCGTCGTGTTTCACTCGCTCCATAAACATGGCGTCGTCTACCTCCGGGAAGATCGACGAATTTAATATAGAGACTGACAGCTGGGACATTTATTGTGAGAGGTTAGACTTGTACTTTACGGCTAGAGGTGTTGATGACGAGGATGATGTGATGAAACGGGCTATTCTGCTTAGTGAAATGGGTAAGACAGCCTACACACTTCTCCGGAATTTGTGCGCTCCTACGAAACCTAAGGAAATGAGGTTTGCTGAGATAGTGAAAGTCATGCGCGATCATCAACACCCAACACCGTCAGTGATAGTTGAAAGACTTAAATTTCACAAGAGGGATAGAAAGTCTCAAGAGAGTGTTGCAGCGTATGCTTCCGAGTTGCGCAAACTGGCAAGTACATGTGACTTTGGTACTACTCTTGATGATTCGCTTAGAGACAGACTAGTTTGTGGCATTAATAATGATGCAATACAGAGGAGATTATTAGCAGAGAAAGCTCTGGATTACAATAAGGCTTTTACACTAGCACAGTCAATGGAATTGGCAGCAAAGAATGTAGAAGATATTAAAGTTGGTGCTTCAAGTGTTTCAGCAGCTACAGGGGGTAACATGCACAAGATGTCATCATCTCAACATGCTCCTGTCTACCCGCCATGTGACAGATGTGGTTTACGAAATCACAAATCTCCGGACTGTCATTTTCGTACCTCAAAGTGTTACAATTGTGGTAAGATTGGCCACATTGGGAAGGTATGTCGTCAGTCACAGAATAGTAAAGGTTCTCGTTGTGGACGTGGCTCGTATCGATCTAGAGGTCAAGGTCGAAGTCGGGGTCAGCACAAGCGTTCAGCAACAAATCAGGTCACTCCTGATAACTATGATGATGTTGAAAGTGAAATATATGACATTTACAAGATGGAGACTAGCTCTACACCTTTTGTTGGGAGGAGAGAGAAGGAACCACCAATGTTTATTGATTTAGCACTTAATGGTCAGCCATTAAGCATGGAGCTGGATACAGGTGCAACATTTTCAGTGATTAATGAGGACACTTACAGATCGTTAGGGAAAGATCCACCCAAACTAGGACCTCCTCATACCTTGTTACGTACTTACCTAGGTGAGAAGATACCTCTGCTTGGTTCATGCTCAGTGAAAGTGAACTACGGCAAACAGTCAGCAGAACTGCCAGTGATTGTAGTGAAAGGGAGAAGAGTTAATCTCTTTGGTCGCGACTGGCTGCGACATGTTCGTCTAGACTGGGGAACAATCCTCAGAGTAGATTGTGATGATGTGCAAAGTATCCTTTACTCACATTCCGATGTCTTCAAGGAGGAACTTGGTGAGTTGAAAGATACAAAAGTGAAGATTAACATATCTATTCCTTCACAACCACGCTTCTACAAGCACAGGAACATGGCCTATGCCTTGAGGGACAAGGTTGAGAATGAACTTGAACGGTTAGAGCAGCAGGGTGTCATAAAACCAGTGCAGTACTCAGAGTGGGCAGCACCCATCGTACCAGTGTTGAAGTCAGATCAGTCTTCAGTGCGCATATGTGGAGATTACAAACTAACAGTCAACCAGGTTGCTAAACCAGATTGTTACCCAATACCCAGGATTGAGGATTTATTTGCATCACTCTCAGGTGGTCGCAAGTTTACGAAATTGGACATGAGTAATGCCTACCAGCAGATAGTGTTGGACGATGATTCCAAGAAACTCACCACAATTAACACCCATAAAGGTCTATACGAGTACCAACGATTACCTTTTGGGGTGTCGGCAGCTCCTGCTATCTTCCAGCGGACAATTGAATGTCTTCTCAGCGACTTGCCACATGTGTGCGTCTACCTCGATGATATTCTTGTCACAGGTGTTGATGATGCAGAACACAACAAGAATCTGAATGAAGTCCTTGACAGATTGCAGAAAGCAGGTTTGCGTCTTAACGCTTCAAAGTGTCACGTCAAGAAAGACTCAGTCACTTACCTGGGACACCGGATTGACGCACAGGGACTGCATCCATTAGAGGAGAAGGTAAACGCTATTGTGTCCGCACCAGCTCCTCAGAATGTGACAGAGTTAAAGTCATTCCTTGGGATGGTACAATACTACCAGAGATTCCTGCCAAATCTCTCCACGACGTTAGTGCCACTACATGGGTTACTACAAAAGGACGCTCCATGGTCATGGACCAAGAAGCATGATACAGTATTTCTAAAGGTGAAATCTCACTTGTCTTCATGTAAGGTCTTGACTCACTACAATCCAGACCTTCCTCTCAACTTAGCAGCTGATGCTTCTCCATATGGAGTAGGTGCCGTCCTGTCACACATCATGCCAGATGGTACTGAGAAGCCTGTGGCGTTTGCGTCACGTTCCTTGTCACCTGCAGAAAAGAACTATTCACAGCTTGATAAAGAAGCACTGGCAATAGTGTTTGGCATAAAGAAATTCCACCAGTATTTGTTCGGACGAAAATTTCAGCTGTTATCAGATCACAAACCCCTCATGGGTCTACTTGATGCAGAGAAAGGCATTCCAGTGATGGCGTCAGCCAGACTCCAGAGATGGGCCTTGATGCTGGCAGCGTATGATTACAGTATTGTGTATAAACCAGGCTCAAAGTTAGCAAACGCAGATTGTTTGAGCAGATTGCCTCTGCAAACCTCTGTGTCTGTGCCGCCTGTTCCAGGAGACACAATAATGCTCCTCGAGAACATGGCAGAATTCCCAGTGAATGTGCGACAAATTCAGTTTTGGACAAGGAAGGATCCCTTGTTAGCTAGAGTGAAGAAGTTAGTGGAATGTGGTTTTCCAGAAAACCTGAAGCCAGATACAGAGCTAAAGCCATATATTCAGAAGAAAACTGAGCTCAGTGTTCAGGATGGTGTGATTCTGTGGGGTAACAGAGTAGTGGTTCCACCTCAGGGTAGGAAACAGTGTGTAGATGTGTTGCATGAAGCTCACCCTGGAATAGCGAGGATGAAAGCTATTGCCAGAGGTCTTGTATGGTGGCCGTGCATTGATTCAGAGCTGGAGAACAAGGTCAGGACTTGTTCCATATGTCAGGAGAGTCGTTCTTCACCCTGCGAAGCAAAGTTACATCCGTGGGACTGGCCGTCCAAACCATGGTCACGTCTGCACATTGATTATGCAGGTCCCTTACAAGGTCAAATGTTCCTCATCATCGTAGACTCTCACTCTAAGTGGATGGATGTTTTCCCTGTCAACAGTGCAACTACGAGTGCCACTCTTGAGTGTCTTCGGAGAACATTTTCCATTCATGGTCTACCTGAGACAATAGTGTCTGATAATGGGACATGTTTCACAAGTGATGAATTTGCTATATTCATCAAGAGAAATGGTATTCAACACATCAGTACATCCCCTTACCATCCAGCGTCCAATGGACTGGCAGAGAGGAGTGTCCAGACGTTCAAACAGGGATTTAAGAAGCTCAGCGGCGGTTCCATCAACACCAGGGTGTCAAGATTCCTGTTCAGGTATCGTAACACTCCGCAGACTACGACAGGGTCATCTCCAGCGCAGTTACTATTGGGAAGACGTCCACGTTCCCATCTTGACTTGCTTCACCCTGACATCGGTGTTAAAGTTCAACATAAACAAGAGAAGCAGGCACACTACCACAATAGACATACAAAGTCATGGGAGTTCGCTGTCGGTGATCTTGTTTACGTCAGGAACTTTCTTGGTAAGCCTAAATGGTTACCAGGGGAGATAATCCAGTGTACAGGTCCTATCTCCTTCAAAGTCAGCTTGGAAAATAACAAAATTGCGAGGCGACATGTAGATCACCTCATCAAGCGTTATGTGGACCCCGATGCTGTGAAACCAGAATCCCCAGAATTGTTGGAAGAAAGTGAAGTGTCGAAGTCTGTCATCACTTTCTCACCAGAGCTCCCAGAGCCTAGTTCTGTACCAGTATCACCCGCAGACACGCCATTTCCGCGTACCAGGTTACCTTCATGTGACACTAGTCCAGAACTGTCCTCATCTGTTGAGTTGAGAAGATCGACTCGTGAGCGTCGAGCTCCAGATAGACTAAATCTGTAAACTACTGTATTTCATTGTTAAGTGTTTTGGGGTTTTTTCAGATTGAACTTTAAGGTGCATGCTCAATTCATTTATTTCAGAAACCAAGTGAATGAACATTAAGTTTGAGAATTTCAGTGTTCAAGAATAGTTCAGTGAACTTTATGGGAAAATTTCCTTTGAACCTCTGGAGTTGATCACTATTTCTTTCTCAGTGACTGATGAGTTAGTAACATTGTTCACTAATTGCTTAAACAACAAGTTGTTAACTAAAGGGGGAGGAATGTATCGTTTTAGTATCATATAACCAGTCACTCGCTTTATCCATACGATGTCTCTATATAAATGAGTGCGCACGTGTAACAGCGCCGGAAGTGTGTGTGTTGTGCGCTAGCAGACCACATGGCTGCCGACTACACTTGACTGAGTGTATTGACATGTAATGAGAGAATACAACCTTTCCCCGGAAAGCCAAGTGTTTGTTGTAGCTGCCAAAGTCATCACATCAGGTCTTGGGCGTTTATGAGTTTTGTGATAGTCAAACCAAGAATCTTAATCATGACAAATCTTGGATTACAGTGAGACGACGGGACGTGCCCAGAACATCAGAATGATGTATCCCTGCTTGTTTTAGAACATGTGATATATTTGTGATACATAATTAGTGCATCCTACCTTCCCCTTCCAGAAACATTTCAAGAAAGTCTTCCCATTTCCCACCATATTCCTTGACCGTCACTAATCCTGCTTCACATCCTTCAGTGGACATCATGCCTTTCGTCGTTTTGTAGAAGGACACAGCCACTGACTTGGGGTTTCTTCCCAACAGAATTATCTTGGTTCTCTGTGTACATACTTGGCGTGGAAGGTATCGGAGTGGCACGTGGGAGCTCATTACCCTTGGAGACGTCAGGCTGTCAAGGTAACGGGTGCTTCTGAATTCTGGTTGGTTCAGTCTTTCCACGTGGTTCCGGTAAACCAAGTCTTCATGGGCCACCATGCTGACAATCTCCCAAAGCCAGTGTGTACCTGCAGGTGTATCATTCAGTGTCGAGCTACTGCAGTTTATATTTTTAGAGAACCCATCATAAACTGTGACATTTCATTTCAAAATTTTGACGATCTTTTGTCATTTTTCAAACATACAAAGAAAACATCTAATACAGTTTGGAGTCGTGCGATTTCCCCTATAATTAGGAAATGACTTTACTTTGTGTGAGGTCATTGGTGTACGAACCGTCATAGACTGAGGGCCAAACAGTACGAACGTTGGAACTTCAGTAACTTCATTGTTACTCACCATTGATCTATTGCCAGATCATTGAAATGTGATTATGAAGATGTGGACCCGTGAAGATCCGGGGTAGAGTAGGTCTTAAGCAACCCATGCTTGCCGTAAGAGGCGACTAACGGGATCGGGTGGTCAGGCTCACTGACTTGGTTGAAGCATGTCACCGATCCCAATTGTTGAGAGTATAATACTAATGTGAACTGTATTATGTCGTGTTAAATATGTGTCATTTGATCTCTGGCACCGACCATTTGATATTGTATCGAGATTAGAATTGTTTTAGCTACAGTTACAAAACCAGATATTTTTTATTTTAAAACTGTGAGCCTGAATAGTTTTAAGAAACACACCTTGGATCAATATAATTTTTGTAGCAGGCAATTTCTCTTTATTTCAAGAATTTTCAGTGATCATATTTCCCCCGATGAGATCCAAGACTGAACTTGATTAGCAATATTCATCTAGTTCTGCTTATGTATTACAGATTGTCACCCCATTAAAGATCAAGGTTCGAATTCGCCTCGAGCATCCCATGCTTGTCGTACAAGGCGACTTATCGGATCGGGTTGTGAGGCTCGCTGACCTAGTTAATGCATGTACCGTAATCGTTTCCCAAATGCGTAGATCGATGCTCATGATGTCACACATCGGATTATCTGGTCCAGACTCGATTATTTACCGCTAGAATATTGCTGAATGCGACGTTAAATGACTAACGAACAAACGTGTTTCCATGCAGTCATTTGGTATGGTTCTCAGCAAACGATTCATCAATGGTTGCAGGAAAATGATACTTTGGATTAACGGTTTCTCGGGTATTATCATCTTTGTATGGTCATTCTTTTCCTGTTATTGTTTGGTAGATGTTGATAAATCCTACCTGACTTAGGGTATGTACAAACAAAGACGTCATCAGGGCGCAGCGGCATGTCTCTGATGTTCTCCAAATGTTGATGAAACGGTATGGATGTCGTACCACGGTGAAAGTAAAATCCATCTACACAATTGACAAAAAAACTGTGTCCACTTCGGTCTTTCAACTCCACTTTGTGCGACATTGTGAATTCTGAAATCATTCATAAACACTCATGTATCTACACCTACAGACTACTCTACATTACAGCATCCTGTATTATGTACTGACATCACGTGGCAAGTATTTATATGCGGATGACAGAGTTTATGATTCATATAGGAGTTTAGATCATTACATTAATGCACTCAGTAGATTGTGTCGATGACTTTGTTACAAGTTCGACACTCATTCTTACCTTGCATGGCCATTATTTGGGATAGAGTTTAGGATAAATTGCCCCAGCATGTTACACTATGAAAACAACTACTCGCATTAATTTCCTGTAACTATAATAATTTTGTGATGTGTCACAGGCGTGCAATAAATAATCCAATGGTTGAAGATGACAGACGGTGAAGACTGAATTTGGTACTAAAGGCATATATATAAATGAATATAGCTGTGGCTTATTAATGTCTATTAATTCCAGACTCGGAATAAAAGCTTGATAATAATGAACACCGCATTAAAGCATTGATAATGTTGTGATGTGTACCAGGCGTGCAGAAATTAATCAAATGGGCGACAGACGGTGAAGACTGAATTTGGTAGTAAAGGCATATATATATAAATGAATATAGCTGTGGCTTATTACTGTCTATTAATTCCAGACTCAGAATAAAAGCTTGATAACAATGAACACCGCATTAAAGCATGGATCAAACCTGGATTATAAAACATTCCATCAGTATTCACCTGTTAAAAGACTGGGCCATATGGTACCAGTCAAAGCAGGGAATTGTATCGGACATCAGTCTTGTCACCAATTCGTTACATTTGGGAACGTCCTCTACATGTCCATCATACAACTTCTTGAAAGCTTTACTGGGTCATTGAATGTTGTAACCTTGATCAAACAGCTTCTGAGAAAGAGTCGTATGACTCTCTTTGACATCTTAGTAGAAAGAGCTTGCTCGATTGTACATCAGAAGTTGTGAAATGAAGAGTTGCATGAATATTGCTCGACTTATAGGGGGCGTTAACTATTGGAAAGTAGAAGTCATCTCTCTTTGTCATACAGTCATGTGGAGAAGGTTTTGTTACTCTGAATCTTTTTGCATAACTCTAAATATGAGGCAGTCTCACTGGTCTCCTTTATTTTTTACAGAAATTATCAGTTGCGTGCAAACGATTTTTGATTTAATTGTTTTTATTCATTCCAGAGGGTATACAGTCATCGTATCATAAGAGGCATCACATTACATGGTAAATATGTCGTAAAAGGCGACTAAAGGTTCGGTTGGTCAGACTCGCTGACTTGGTTGATGCATGTCATCGATCCCAATTGCGTGGATCGATGCTCATGATATAAATCACTGGATTGTCTGGTCCAGACTCGATTATTTACAGACCGCCGTCATATAGAAGGAATATTGCTGAGTGCGGCGTTAAACAACCAACCAACATGGTAAATATCATGAGAAAAATGTACAGGATGTGATAGGACAGTAAGTTCACCTTTGATACGTTGTAATTATTGTAAGAGATATCGATTAAGTAAGCTAATCCACCTCCGTTATGGTTTTCCTCATTAAACTCCATCTTTTTAGTAAAAGTAATTATTGTTCCGTTTCTTTTTGCAAGGAACAACTCGACATGGTAAATATCTTTCAGTATATTTCTATATGATTTAAAACATGGTTTTATTACTTTAATGTGTGTTACGTAAACGTGTCTTTTTGCTAATACCAATAAGTGATTAAATAAGAAGTTGTTTTTAACTCGAAATTAGATATCTTGTTTCGTAATAATAACATGACCGAAAATAACATTTATGAAAGCATTAAATTCGTCCCAGAATTCTTTAACATCAGAACATTCTAAATATACGTGAGCAATGTTTTCACTGTCTGAAATGCAAAATGAACAAAGGTTGTTGTCAACCAAGTTCATCGTTACCAATTCCTTTTTAGTGTATATAATTTTGTGTAGGTATTTGACCTGGAATTCTATGAGTTTTGTATCTTTTGAAGATTTTCTAAATTGTAAAAATACATATTTCCATTTTCCAATATTTGATTGTTAAATTCTTGTTTCCACTTCTCACAAATGTCTGGAAAGTAAGATGATGAAATAAAGTTATCATAAAATATCCTAGAAGCTTTGCTTGTCTTAAGTAAATCAAGCCATGGAGAAAAAATGTTTAATTGCATTGTGTCTAGATTATTTGCATCATGCACAAGATCTCTCCATGGCGTACGGATGTTTAAGAGCAAACGGTTATCATCTAATAAAGTACATTTTATGTCATACATTACTTTCAGCTCGGGGAATAGAATAAAACCGCTCGAGTCACATAAATCATGGCAAATGCCCCTTGTATATCAATTTCTAATAATCAAATCCGGAAGTTTAGATTTATGATTGTACCACAATGGTTGCATTAAAATTTCATTAACGTCGTTTTCGTTTATTTCGTTTCGTTTTTATATATTTGTTCCATGTGTCTCATGTGTCTTTCCAAAATGATATTGAAGTGGGTTTTTTTAAATATTAGCGCCCAAACGGAAAATGTTTTGCAATGGAAAGCCTGAAAGAGGGTAGCTGTTTGGTTTGGAAATATATCGTTTGATACACGATAACTTAAGTGAGTAAATAAACATTGTAATATCAACCATTCTAAGGCCACCATCTTCATATGTTCGAACTAGGTTTACTCTTTTTATGTTGTCTTTCTTTCCATTCCATATGAAGTGGAAACAAATTATGTTTAATTTTTTTTTATAAATTCCTTTTGGGGGATTTGGTAAAGCAGTTAATATATGAACTATAGTTGGCAAAGCCAAGGTTTTTATAACGGTTGCGTTTCCGCCAGTTTGAAAGAATTGTTATAATTGTTTCCAGTCTTTTTCGAGTGTTGATAACCCCAAGGCTTTTCAAATCAGCGTTTAGTTTTATTCCAAGTAAATCAAAATCTGCGTTGTGCCAGTCCAATGTCAAATCAGGACATAATGTGAGTGAATTCCCTATCATTGCGCTTTAGTTTTGTCTGTATTTATTTGTAAGCCGGACATTCTATAGAACTTACTTAGTGTATTAACTACTTCATTTAGAGACGCTGCTGAGCCATCTAAAATACTTCGGTGTCATCGGCATATTGACCTATTATATGTTCACTTTCTCCAAGTACTATACCTTTTATATTTATATTTTTTCTTGTCATTATCCCTTGTATTTCTGCGACGAAAAGGAACAAATATGGGGAAATAGGATTTCCTTGTCTATATCCCCTTTCGTTGCTGAAAAATTATGACAAGTGACCGTTATGTATGACACAAGAAGTAGCGTTTAAGATCAGGATATTTACCAATGTTTGCATATAAGTTCCAAAACCAAATTTGTCTGGAACCTTCATACTGAATCGTTTAGAAACTGTGTCAAAGACTTTTTCAAAATCAATTAATATTAATAGGCCTTTCTTCTTTAATGTTTTTGTTTCTAAGATGATGTCATATAAGAGTTAGTTTTCGCTAATACACCTACCCGGTATAAATCCTGTCTGGTTATCATTGATGAGGAGATCCAGTGTCTTCTTATTCCTATTTGCTATGCAAGCGCTAATAATCTTATATAGAGCATTTAAAATAGAAATAGGCCTCCATTTTTTTTAATACACTTCAATCTTTATTTGGTT